AGCCTTAGCCAAGGGAGGGGAACTCGTAGGTAAAGAGTAACATCAGTCCGGTGACGTTGACTCACGTAAGGCCGGCCCGGCTGGTGTATCTTCTCCTCCTGCTCGAGCAGTATCTCCACGGCCTCGACATACTCCTCCTTAATGGCGTGGAGCAGCGCATCCTGCAACGGGGAACGCACCCTTCACGAAGCCGCAGCGCAGGCTAATAGTCGGGCTCTGCCTACCTTGACTTGTATGCCGAGCTCGAGGAGCAGCAGTATCAGGTCGATGTTCTCGTTCTCGATGGCGGCGATGAGGGCCGATCGGTTAAGGGGATCCACACAGTCGATGTTGAGTATCTCCGGATGATCGCGGTTCTCCTCGAGGAGCCGACGCACCGTCGCGCAGTCGCCTCGCTCGGCGCTCAGCGGGAAGTGCTTCTCCACGGGCCCGAGGATGTACTCGCTCGTGGGGCCCAGAGACTGTTGGGAGCCCTCAGCGCTGCTCAGCAGCTTCTGCTGGGACTCGGAGGCGTTCATGGCGACTCTCGGCAGCGACTGCCGGCGATCAGGTTCGTTCGCTCGCGGCCGCCCCGTCGTGAACCGAAGCCCCACGCGGCCGGATTGGGAACGCGCTCCAGTTGCGCCCCCGAGAGCGGCCCCACACCCTGGGCCGAGGCTTTGGCCATTGGATTCGCGACCCGGGATTAATCATCGATCTCCCTTTAATAAGCTCACCTTACTCCTCATTGGCTCGCTACCAAGACGATCCCCGGGTGACTATCCGCGCCGCCGGCCTCAACCATTCTCTCGGGCGCATTGGCCCAATGGGCCGGTGGCCGAGAATGACTCTTTGTACATCCCCCCTCCCCCCGCCCCGTCATCGCGACCGCCTACTCCTCCACAAGACCAACGACAGATCATTCGGATGCGCGACTCCCCATCCTATAGCCCTACCGGCGAGCTTGACGACGTGTCTATCCTTACGTTCGCCGAAGAATCTCTGCTGCCGACGGGAGCTTCATTCCGCTTCATAGCCCATAGATAGAAAAAGCCTAATCGCTCTCTCTCTCTCTCTCTCTCTCTTGCTCTCTCTCTTGCTCTCTCTTGCTCTCTCCTACGACAGAGACTGGCGGTACTCGAATTTTTAGCGTCACGTGCGTTCGACGTGTAAATAATTCCCGGAGGCACGAGGGCAGAATCTTGACCTTTGCCGAGTCCCGTGACATCGTGAAAAATTTGCTGAGTTCGTAATATCGCGAGAATCGTTCGTCGGCCTTCGTTTGAGTGCTTGCTTGCTTGTTTGCGTGCGTGTGTGCGTGCTTGCGTGCGTGCGTGCATATGTGCGCTCGGTAATTAATAACAATCGATGATTACGCGGCTTTCTCATCAATTCCACTATGAACAAAAGCTCATAGAGTCGCGAGTTCAGCGCGTGCGCGTGCGCTGACACATTTAAACGACAATGGCGAGTGCGAATTGAAGTAATAGGCTTGCTTGCCTTGGGTACATTAAGCACGACTCTCGGGCCCTTTGGAAACTGTGCCTGGTTAACATTGCGCAAGATGATCCCCCGTGTGACAAATCTATCTAGAGTCTGATTAAATAGGATAGTTACACACTTAAATACGCCTTACATTCGCGTATGCATGGTCACATGATATCCGACATATACGAAACAGGCTTTATTTCAGTGTTTCATGTACATCACAATATTATTACACAGATTGAGTGCTCTTATCTATTAATCATTATGTCATCTTCGTTTTAGTTTAATGCATTTTTCTTGTCTGCTCGTAAATGCTCGGAGTTATCCCGCACGAGGAGTCAACCGGCGAAACCTCGGCCCTCGTCGGTTCTTGACGTCCTCCTTGTTGCCGACTATCCTCCTCCGCCTCCTCCTCCTCTTCCTCCTCCTCCTCCTCCTCCTCCTCCTCCTCCTCCTCCTCCTCCTCCTCCTCCTCCTCCTCCTCCTCCTCCTCCTCCTCCTCCTCCTCCTCCTCCTCCTCCTCCTCCTCCTCCTCCTCCTCCTCCTCCTCCTCCTCCTCCTCCTCCTCCTCCTCCTCCTCCTCCTCCTCCTCCTCCTCCTCCTCCTCCTCCTCCTCCTCCTCCTCCTCCTCCTCCTCCTCCTCCTCCTCCTCCTCCTCCTCCTCCTCCTCCTCCTCCTCCTCCTCCTCCTCCTCCTCCTCCTCCTCCTCCTCCTCCTCCTCCTCCTCCTCCTCCTCCTCCTCCTCCTCCTCCTCCTCCTCCTCCTCCTCCTCCTCCTCCTCCTCCTCCTCCTCCTCCTCCTCCTCCTCCTCCTCCTCCTCCTCCTCCTCCTCCTCCTCCTCCTCCTCCTCCTCCTCCTCCTCCTCCTCCTCCTCCTCCCTTCGGTGGAGCTGGCGGGCGAGTCCTCCTGGCTCTTGGCCGCGCAAATGAGGGCGAGCCTCGCAAGCCTGCGCATGCGCTCCTGGCGTAGCCGATTCAGCCGGCCGTTGAGCCCGTCCCGGCCGAACCTGATAACGGTGTCGGAACGCGTGTGCGGCTGGCTGACGGATCCGAGAGCCGCGTCCCTATCCCGGCCGAAGCGGATGAAGGAGGAGCCGAGGCCGCTGCTGCGTCGCTCTCGCGAGTCCCCGGCGAGGCTCCGCGGGACCGCGTACACCTGGCGCTCCTCCGAGAAGCTGGACTCCGGGGGCACGAGGCCCGCGCACAGCGACAGCCACACCTGAAGACCGAGGACCAGCCCTAGCGCCACTGCCACCTGAGACATAACCTGAGGCAGCCACGGTCGTGATTTAGTTTCCATTGAGTCGAGAGCGACTTGTGCCGCTTCAGCTTGCGATTGGCCCGCGAATTCTACTTGCCTGCCGCGTCACTTATCCTTCGAAACTTTGCGCGATGGACACTGGGTGGTTGGGGGGAGGGGGGGACCTACCATCGTTTATACCGTTTCGTTAGTCGCGAGGTCCACCTTGGATTAATAAACAGCCCTCTCGGTCTCTTAATACGAAAGCGGATGCAAGGTAGGTGAAGGCTGTCCCGCGTTTGCTTATTATATTATTATTTATCTTCGAGCTGCGGTGCTCCGGCTAGGTTCGCGCGATTTATTAAAACCTCTTCCCCCTCCCCCTCCGGCCTTTGACATTTATCATACGCGTAATTTGCAACGGGGGACGAGTATCGTCGTCTAAACTAAACGGCGCTGATAATAAAAATGCGTATGTTATGACTTTTTACGCGGGAGCGTCTACTTGCAAAGTTTCGAAAGTAATTGCCCGTTCTGGATATTTTATTATTAGCCCGACGAGGCGCGGATAACTAGCACGAACATTTGTTCGCCTTCTCCCACTAAAGTTTATTCGATAATTTCATTAGAGTTACAAAGACGCCGAAAAAAAAGGAGAAAAAAAAAGCTGTTGCATTGTGTGGAAAAAAAATGAATAAACAATGTTATTGAAAATGTTGCGATAAAGCACACCGAGTCCGTAATATTTTCTAATGAAACCATTCGCTATTAAAAAATACATTGAATCGACGTCCTGACGCCTGTGAGACACAATTCTGTACTATGATCGAATGTGTATGCCAACGAAAGAAATAAATGAGAGAAAACATTGGAATATATTTAACAAATACTCGGTGATTACAAACTGCGCAACAAGCTCAAATACTTTATATCTCTAACTATATTGACAATATACCGAACAAACTTCGTCCCTGTCTCTCTCTCTCTCTCTCTATATATATATATATATATATATATATATATATATACCCTTACATAAACAATACGTACTTCAGTCATATTGAGATCATTGAAGTTTGTCAATACTCAACGTCCAGCAGCAGTGTATTAATTATCTGCACACCTGCACGCAGAAGTAACCGAATAAGAGAAATAAGTTCTTCGGCTCTCGGCACCGTATCACTTTATAATTCCAAATTTTTGCCTCGTGAAAAGTATTTCAAAATATATGCGTCTACTATAAAATATATATTTAATCGAATACTAAAGAAGCATAGCTGTTCATTTTTTTTTCTTTTTTCTTTTTTCTTATGATTAGTTGGTTGTTTTTATAACGGAATGACCGACTTTTATCGTACACATATGTAGTTTACCATAGCCTGAGTGGGCCATGAAAATTTGATTATAATTCATCTCACCATCTTTACCAATAAACCAGCATTCGAATATTTTAAATTCAGTAAAAATTTATGTCCCCTAATTTTTACATATATTTCACGCAACTTTAAAACAATACGAAATTCAATTAAAGCTTTTACGATCCTGTACTTTGCAAACTTATTATTTTAATATGGAGCTGAAGAATTTTACGCCAGAGGATCGTTTGCTTTATTTCTGGGACGTAAAATATTTTGCACGAGAAAATAAAATACATCCGCGAATAGCTATTTGAAGGAATATTTTAGAAATCGACTCGACTCCTCATATCACTAGCAGTTAATAGTTTGCATAATCCATGGCATACAACGACGATTAATGCATTTAAGAAAATAATACGTATGTATGTATGTATATATATATATATATATATATATATATGTATATAAACGTATGTGTGGGCGCCCGCGTGCGCGTGTACGTTTTGTAAAATCGCGCTAAACTTTGACTCGCATTATACTGATTGCAAAAGTTTTTATTTTTTAAAAAATGTCCGTCATTAAACCAAACTTTTAAAAAAATATTACTACACTTTACAATTTTGAGAAAAAACGATTGATTATTTGTAATGGGACATATCACGGTGAAATGTCATCTCGAACAATACGCAGCTTTATAATGTTTCAAAAGCTCGTGGTTTCAAAAGCCATAAATTCAAGCTATAAGAGCAAATAAATCCGCAACAATGATTTCTTCGGCCGGACTTAAGTTCCAACGTCACGTTTCCTTTACGTACGTTATTATCACGTCAAGCGACTGTCCCGGCCCATAAGTGACTTGCAACAGCATATGATCGCGAACTTGATAATCGGCCGATGATTTTTTCCAATATTTAATCAACGCGTCTTTTACCATAGGTTTCTCGATTTCCATAAAGACGTGCCATTAATGCAAATGGTAACCCTTTCTTTACAATATATATATATATATATATACGACTTTAGTACTCCTCTCGTAGCTTTCTAATTCACGTCGCGTCTTTTCATTCGACTATCTCGTCCTCGATACCTTTTCCCTATAACGGCAGCGCCATTAAATCACAACGAGCTACCTTGGAAAAGTCGAAGCCATCGGCCGCGAGCAACCGCGTTCGCATATAATTCATTAAAACAGACTGGACCATCCCTCGATCATTCCCGAAACGACGTAAGCGCGACTCGTCTCGGTGCCCCCGATCGTCCAGCGGCCGGCCTTGAAGTCCCACGAGGCTGGGCTCGATCGCCCGCGATCGCTCCGTCACTAAAAGTCGGCCGCACGGACTCGCAACTACGGCACTCGTCGACGAAAGGCTCGAAATGCCCGTTAAAAAGCTGTAGGTTGAGGCTCACCGTGTACTCGGCGATCGGCCAGGAGTCGGAGGAGGACGCGGGGCTGCCACGCTAGTGGAGGCGCCCAAGGTGGTGGAACGGCGACGCTGCCTCGGTTGACCGGTGCGGCGAAAATGAGCGGGCTCCGCCACTCATGGGAGCCTTATATATGGGGGTTGGCTACGCTCGCGCATCCGCGCAGACGAGAATTGCGAGACCAAGGGAGTATAAGAGAGAGAGAGAGAGAGAGAGAGAGAGAGAGAGAAATAGAGAGAGAATGAGAGAATGAGAGAGAGGGTGAGAGAGAGAGAGAGGGTGAGAGCGTGATATATATATAGCATAAGTTTGTGCGTGCGTGCGTGCGTACGTGCGTGCGAACGTGGGAGCGTGTGTGCGAGGTAGGTTGAAAGGGCGCGTACGTGTGTCGGTATGTGGGGGCTGAATTATGGCCCGAGGAGGCGCCCAAGGCGATACCTCCGCATTATTCTGATTCAATTATCCGCGGGCTTATTTATCGCCAGGGAAAATAAGCGCCCACCGACTCCGATTGCGCACGAATGAAATCGCCGAGCCACGCGACACCCCCCTATTACACCAACAGAGTAAACAACAAGCCGACGGTGGGTGGAGCAGTGACACCTGCAATCTAGGCGGGAGAACTCCTTCGACGGGAATGAATTAATGCGAGGAGCTGCTGACTTTAGCGTCCCGATTCTCCATGGCTTGTCGCTAAGACGGGATGGGACAGAGGACCAAGGGGCGATGAAATATCGGGAAAAGAACTTTTCACTTGGCGAAAGACACAGACAGTGGCCGAGGGGATAGGAGCCGGGGAGACATATTTTCTCGTCCCGGATCGTGCAAAACGTCCGTGGCTTTTAATGCGTCTGTTTGGAAGTTGCGCCAATTGCAATAAACACGCACGTCATCTATGTGCGGGGCAAGAAATATCCCTCGTTCCAATGATATTGACGCTTGTCAAAATCGCGTGCATCCTGTCAATCAAGTTAACATCGAATCGCTATTGTTTCCTTCGGAGTACTTTATTTAACATTTCTATTGTTAACTTCTGTATGAGATTGATCTACAAATACACTATTTTGAAGCAATTCAAATATACGCCTGTTGCTTTAAATATTTTTTAATTTCGAAAAAATTACATTAGCCATGGAAATTAATTAATACATATATATATATATATATATATATTATAGTTTGTCGAGATGTTGCTTTTTCTACAATTGTTCGTCGCGTTTATATAATATGCAACGATTCAGGTAGAAATAACTTGTATGGGCGTCCCCCGAGCAGCCTATCCGTTAATCATTAATTGTTAATTTTTATAAGAAGTTATTGTTATTGAAATATTTGTAAAGAATATTTTCGCTAAGGAAACAATATAAAGTCCATTATCAATGAAATAATAATATTTTAAGAATGTGGTATTTTTCAGTAATAATCGCAGTTTAAAAAAAAAACAAAAAAAAAACAAAAAAAAAACAAAAAAACAAACAAACAAACAAAACAAAACAAAACTACGTGGCTTGTATAATATGGATAAAATTAGTAATACTCAAAGCAGTTGATTAAATTATATTTGGGCTTTTATGATAATATTGTGGGGTTCGAATGCTCAATATAGAAACTATACTTATGCTTACATTTAGATCGATCGACTATCATGATGTGATCTCAGCATTCGTAGATTAAGATTACATTATTCATTATTTGTTTATGTCAAATAAACAATCACGTATTCGAATTCAGATTTCTTGAATTATTGCAATTTCATTGTGACACTTGATATATGGACTTTTTATTCAATCCTAGCATCGTCAAAAAATATGGCAACATATCTAAAACGTATTCACATTAATTTTATATTAACTTACTTTTATGAAATGATTAATAATACCGAGGCTCAAATAATTATAATTATTGTTAAATATATGTCGCTATGATTGTATGCGTTACGTTACATTACGATAATGTGCTAAATTTCTGTTCCCTGGTATTAATATTACTATTATCAAAGAAAATTAAAAAAAAATTTATAATTTTGACAAATTTCTAGCACACTAAATGACTGGTATTTCAGATTTATTCACTACCAAACATAAATCATTCAATCTATAATTTGGAATAACGAAGCTGTAAATAAAAAGAAATAGTAAAATTACATTTAATTGTTGAAATATGGTTTGAACATTTTGTCATAAATTTTGACTAGCAAAAGTAGTTGAAATAATTATATTGTGAATTAGCTGTAAACGTACCGCAAATTCTACTCATTCCATATATTAGAATTCATGAAAAATATTTCTTAATTATAAAAATGAGAATTCTACTCACAAACAAAGTTTTATTAATAATAATAGAAAATTGCCATTTTTTTTTTTTATTATTAAGTAAAACATAGCCAATAATTTATTTACTCTTCGTTTACAGATGCGTACAATAGATGTTTAATAATCATTAATACTATCACTAATACATAACATTAATATATCATTAATACATCACTAATACCATTTTACATACAATTCATCATCCGTCAAATGAAAGTTTCTACTAAATATAACAAAATATAGAAAACATTTGATAAGTTATTAATTGCGTTAATGAAATTTCAATGAATTTTCAACATATTTAACAATTTTGTTGTCTCTTTGAAGTAGAAGCTTTTTTAATTGATACATTAGGTTTCATTAGTTTTAGAAAATGTCTTCGAAATTAAACAAATATACTACAGATACAACTAAAAATATAAACTATACCGACTATAAATGATTGCTTTTTAATATTTTTATAAAAAATAAAAACGAAAAATAAAATAATAATCCCGCACCTAAATATATGGAACAACAATGAAAATATCACTATAGTAATGATAATAATAATATAAAATTATTATAACAAAAACAATAATTGTTGCTTAAACCGTATTAGAAAAGATTTTTATTTAAAATCTATGAATGCGATTACTTTTCTCCTGTAATACATATATAATTTCCAAATTTCATGATATACTTCATTAATTCTCCTTTCAAAATTTCACACGAATTTATTTGTCGAAAAATACTCCAATAAATTTAAGTTTTTTAATAAAATAAATATTATTTATAATTCACTCATATAATACAATGAAATATGATTCGAACAATAATATCCCGAAGAATATGTTTATTAAATGGTTGATGTAAATTTCAAAAAATTCTAAAAATTCTAAAAAACGAAGCTTAATTAATTTGGCTTCCATTAATTTACCTTTTGTGCTATAAAAATTATTGACATTATATGAATTTTCGAATGATTTTTCTGCCCATTTAAACGCATAGAACGTTTAAAAAGCAACGGTACTTGGTTCGTTTAAATGTTCAAGTTCACAAGCTTATTTTTAATTTCTAATTAATTTTTATTTAGACGCTCGATAAAATAAAAAACTACTCGAGAAGTTAATATCGACGCTGTAAATTAAAATATTTAATTGTTATAATATATAATGACGTAAAGAAGTATGAAATTCCATTCAATTTTATAAATGATTTTAATACCATTTTGAACTAAGGTATTTTTATGGTGCGTTTATATATAATTTTTGAGACAAAATAATTTATGAGACTGTATTGACATTCTGCTAATAAATATATATTTTTATTACGATAAAGTATTTTAATAGGCTCTTTGTCTTAATTTTACAGTTACTTCTGATTTTATAAAGAATATTACACAAATATTCATTAAATATTTGATGTTGGATTTTTAAAAATTATGGGCATTATTAATATTTTAATAATATTTTTTCACCATGAGACTGATGATAGTCATTTGCCAAAAGAAGTTTTGGTTATATGGATAAAGTTAAAAAATTGCTTAGATATCAATTTTATTGTAAAAACAATTCAGTCACAGAAAGAAAAATTAATTTTCATTGAGGCAATTATACATTAAATAGAAATTTCATGCTACTCAGTCGTTCATAAAAAATGCATTTTTTTTTGTTTTGTTCGTGTAAATAAAATTTATTTTATTTAATAATCAAAAGTCATAATAACAATAGAGTCGTAAGTTTATTTGTTTTTCTCATAAAATATTATTATAGACTGTTATTTGAATTATTTATTGCTGAATATTATTAAAAACTATTTCACAAATATTTTTGATAAAAATAATTATTCTGTAATAGTTATAATAGATTTTAAGGCTCGTCGAATTGGATAAATTATTTATAACCGCTTCCTTTGTGATATCTAAAATCATAATTTTCAAATTATATGTAAACATTTATATTCGTTTATCACTATTTATGACAATTTGTCGGACAAAATTTTTTTTCTCTCTTTTTACGTTTAAAAGGGAATTTAAGATTTCTTTTCGCCAAATTGAAGAAAATGAGAAAAGTGTTTTAAAAGTTAGATTTATCATATAATTGTTGGATAATTAAAGCCAATTGTTCTTTGTGTATGATATTATCGGTCGAATGTTAAATATTATTGTATGTTGATAATTAAATACTGTAATAATATATATTTTAAAAATGTTAATAATGGTGTAGAAGCCCGGCAAATTAAAAATTTATATTAAAAACTGAGTTAGTTTTAACTGAATGAAGAATTTCCATTAATATTTTACATTTATAGCAAATATTTTCAAACATTTGTTAATGAATGGCCTTAAATAGTTTATGAAATATATAAAGTTAATGGAAATTTTAGTGATTAAGAATTTCCTCATTTATTTTATAATTAACCGCTTGCAAGCATGGATTCGAGATTCGCGTTAAAATGAAAATTTATATTTACTAATAATGCTTCGACAAACGGAGCTCTTTATTCTTCATATGATTTAACATGAATAATAGACTTGTTATTTTACTCTGCTCTATTAAAATTATATCAGATAAATAATAAAAATTAATACGGGTGGCCATTTTGATCAATTAAAGCTAGATTTGTTATCTCATTCATTGGGGTTGCGCCATGATATCGCGGCCTGACGATCAACACACAGCTTCGAAAGTTTGATAAAAATGCATTTTAATGGTTTAAAATTCCATTTACAAGGATGACTGAATTCTCCTTTTAAATTTGATACTTTAATATTTAGTGCACGCTG